AAGATGAACAAGCTAAATCAAACACTTAAAAATGAATAAATCCAAATCGAAGAATCATCGTCCTCATCATTTCTACTATCATACAAACTCAGTTCAATCCTTCAAAAGAGCATACTCAATTATTGAACAATCAACATTAAATGAAAGATCCTCTTGTTCAAAGAAAGACAACGAAAATGAATAATTTTCTTCAACATTAGAACAAAAAGGAGGAAAAGAAACACCAACCTTGGGGATAATCATGAAATAATCATCTTCAAACGAAAAAGATAGAATATGCACAAAGGCACCCAACGAGGAAGATGAAAAAATTGAGATCAGAAAACAGAGATCTAGAAAAGGGAAGTTTCCAGTACTCACTGTAAGATAAAACTAGACGCTCGGAATATTTCTACTTTAAATTGAAAAGATCTAAAGGTAAATCACCTTAGATCATCTGTAACTAATGCACCTGGGCTTAAGAAGATATTATGGGAATCAAAGGTGAAACTCTATTTGTTTTGCAATAGTGCTTTATAGCTCAGAGACTAAATGGTTGTTTAAAGGAAGTTGTAAAAAGCATCAATATACTCTAGAAGTATACAAAGTTTGAAGTCTTTGATTCTGAGGATAAACAATGATGACAAATGTTAACCATTATGATCAAAGCAATACATTTGAGAACAAATCTCAATATTAAATTATAAAAAATGATCAGTTGAATAATAAGTCTATAATGGACGTATTCACGTAATTTACTGACTCTCGCATCCAGTGGTGCATGAGAAGAATACACTGTAAGGTGTTCTTCCCTTTTGGGAAATATTTATCAAGAATTATTTCTTGATTTAAGAGGTAAAATCATTTTAAGGTTGAAACGATCAGGAAAATCTAATTAAAACCCTTACAATGATTATTTTATTTATTTTTGCTCGTTTGAATAAAATCCTTCCTAACCCATGAAATGAGCATTTGTGTTAGTTTCATAGCTAAGTCTGCAAACAAAGACAAATGGGGTACATAATAGGAAAAAATAATGCACAAGGCCCAATAAGCACCTATGAAGCTGAAAGGAAGCGAGTTAATCGAATAACAAGTTTTGCTAATCGATTAAGAAAGGCTGGAAAATATATTTTCAAATCAAATCTAAGCACGCCTTGCACGCCAAGTCAAGAAAATCCCATCAATTATGAAGATCTCTCCAAAAATAAAAAGATTGAAGAATCTAACCAATTAGGAGAAAATCTAAATGATTAGCAGGTTCAGAAAAAGTGAGTTTTAATTTGATTTTTGGATAACATAGTCTACACATTAAAACCCTTCAATACACACGCTAAAAAAGCCTAGAAGGTCTCGCTATAAATAGGCATAATCCCTTAAATCTTCTTGCATATCATTCTTACATCTTCATTTATTCTCTTTGTATGCGTGAAACCTTTTCTATTTTTTCATTAAAAAAATCCCCATTGCCTCCTCAAATGAAGAACCCAAGGAAAATTTAAAACACCTCAGCCTCCTTATCCTAATTAATTCCAAAGAAAAGGAAAAGACGACAATACTAAATAAAAAGGTTATCCAACCCTAGTTCTTAGAAGTAAGCATGATAAACAGTCACAAAACTTATCATAAAACCTTCCAAGCCTCACTCAAGGAACTTTTCACCCAAAACCCAGAACAAATATTTCCAAAATTGATAAGAGAATTCTATCTTAACCTTAAATTTATAGGAACCTCCATATAAACTTCAGTCAAAGGAGTGGAGATTATCATTCATAAAGACCATGTCTGAAGTATTTTTGAGCTACCCATGGAGGATTGAACTACACTTTATACAAACATATATGCTTCAAACACTTTTTTGCTATCAATTCCCTTGTTATTAACCCAATAGAAAAGATGAAAGCCCCCTTCAAGACCACTCATCTAAAACCAAAACTCATAATCCTCCATTACCTCGTCACCACTGTCCTATTCCTAAGAATCATAAACAATTTCTACGTGATTAGAGAAGACATAGTACCCCTATGACTCATAACCTAAGAAATCCAGACAAATTATATAGAAGAAATATTCAAACATATGATCAGATGTATGGATATTTCTTCAACTGGATTACCATACAAGTTAAAGGATGCTAATATTGGTCATATGGATTTATTGGAAGATAAAGTACAAATTACAAAGTAAAAGGAAATTCACCATTGTTTATTTCTTGGCAAAATGTTCACCAAGTTCAAGTTTCATTCATCATTCTTCATCCAATTTTAATTAAACATGTGTTTACCATTCAAATAAAGTTCAAGGTTACAAAATAATTACTTAAGGTGTGAGAAACACAAGAAATGGGGTTTGAATCGGGTTTCACTAACAATTAATTTAAATATTTTCGTTGATGAAAGATCAAGTTAACGTAAAACATAAAAATAAATGAACACAATTATTTTTATCCCGGATCACTGTTAACTAAGCTACTCCAGTCCATCCCTCAAGGTGATTTGCCTCCAACAAGGACTTAATCCACTATAACCAAACTGATTACAGACAACATACAATAAGTTAGATCAACCTTATTGGCACTCCCAATAACTCTGTCGATCCTTATTGCAAATCCACTCAAGCCGCAACAGAAGTCTTCTTGAGATCAGACCTTTACTCTGTCACTCAAGGAATCAACAAAAGTTGAATACTTTCAGTGTATTACAGTTTGCTTCTTTTAAGCAGATTACACGGACGTTTCAGTACAAAGAAAAACACCTAAGTTTTTTATAGCAAGATACGAGCAACAACTCCTTGCCTATTTATAAACCTATACATAGGAGATTTCTCGAAAGAGTTACACAGTGCTTTGGTGTAATTTTGTTTGAGCTTGATTTAATATGATAGATTTGTGTAATGTTGATTCTTACATTTCTTCAGCTTCCAAGTCTTTCTTTTATAGCTTGTAAAAGAGATTCGTTGAAAGGGTAGAAAGATAATAGGAAAATATAGTTGTTTGTTCTCAACGATCATAATGATAGTGGTCATAGTATAGTACGAAAGAATAATCCTTAGGCCACCCTAGAGGGTAGAGGTCACATAACATTTTTTGTACCTTTTGTACACCATCACACGTTAACCATTTTGAACTTCTTCTTATCTTCAGAGACTTCATATATTTTTAATGTTTGAAGCTTGTTGTAGAAGAATCATCCTTAAGTCTTAGAACCTAAGTCTTGGAGTCTTCAGAACTTGTCCTATCAGAACCTTGTCTTCAGAGTCTTCAACACTTGATTGTAAAAACTTGCTTTTCTTCGGATCATTAGAACTTGTTCAGCAGAACCTCGTCTTCATAATCTTCAGAACTTATAACACACAGAAACAAAGCTTTAGAAGGACTCCAAAGCTTAACCACCAAGTTACGATCAGAACCTCTTATACTAACGTTCCTAAGAACCGTTGCATAAGATAAATTCCAGAATCTTGACTTCAACTGTAACATGTAACCACATATTTTCTTCTAGTAGTGTTTATGTTCAGAACCAGATGATGTCACACGCCTTGATACCAAATTTATAACATTACAGCAGAAGTTACACACTAGAATGAAACTATTAGAGTATACAATTGTTCTTTATGATATCATGTAAAGTTATCATCAAAATCTTAAGGCCACATGTAGAAACACTTTTTGTTCTTACAATCTCCCCCTTTTTTATGATGAAAAAACTATGTATTTTGATAGAACAATTTATACAGGATAATCACTATAACCGAAAAATTCATAGTTAAGTTCATTTATGCTTGTTCAGAGTCTCCCCCTGAGCCTAAGACTCACAATAAATTTTGAGTTTTCAGAAGATGGAAACAGAGAGGGAACACTTTCCTACAACAACTCATCAGAGTCTGACTAGAACACCTGGTCTTCATCTCAGAACCTAGTTACTATCAGAACTTGATGAAAAATTAAAACTTGATTTTGAGCTTGATTGAATAATGCCACGCGTCATTTATCAACACTTTTATTTCTTGATTCTAATATCTCAACCAAAACACTATACTTATGGAAAAGTTCACTACTTAAGCATCAACGTTTGTCTTGATATATTCCAATATATCAATCATTCAGATAGTTCACAACTTCTGAATAGAACATACGTTGTAGAAGCACACACGTTAGAGCACATCTTCTGAGTGGCATCTTTGTATCAGAGCATGCATCAGAATATTGACTTGACTTTCTTTCATAAGAGCACAACTTTTAAAGCTTTAAGTTTGAACTCCATACTTTCAGAAAGCTCACAACTTCTTAACAATACAATATCAAGCAAGATTACTTTACTTTCAGTAAGTTTATAACTTTTGAATTGTGTTTGGTACATTTGTTTGAATATTCATATATTCACAAAGTGTACAACTTCTTATATATGAAACTAGAATTGATTTCATCCAAAAGGTTCTCAATCTTAGCATCAATATCTTCATATTCAACCTGTCTTAGAATGCTTTGTGGGATCTTCATATTCAACCTATCTTAGAATGCACAGTGAACTTATTCAAAATTTCTGGAATGAAACATCAAACAAACAGTTAATAGCAACAACATTTTATATGTTTGAGTTTAAGATTATGAGAATAAATATTATCAAAATCATTTTACTTTCTCCCCCTTTATCAGAAATCAAAAAGGTGATAAAGATAAATCATTTTACCATTGCAGAATCAAGACAGGAAATTGTTTAGATAAAATTCTTTGTATTTTTTTATGAAAGTTTACTTATAACAAATTTAAGTTCTATCTTAAAAGTTAATGTTTTAAAAGAAATGTTTAGTAAGAATTTATGGAAATCAGAATATTGATTCACCACACAAAAACTCCAGAAAATTATCTCTACACTCTACAAATTCCATAAACCTTCCATTATTCTTCATTCTCTGAAAAATCACAAAAAACTCTTTCAATTCTTTCTGAATCATCTTCATACTTCTTCAATCTTCAACGATTTTCGTTCTTATCACGTATCATCATATCCACGAATTCTCCATCAAATCTTCAATTCATCTGCAATTATCATCACAAATCCGGAACATTCAACACCGCACATCAACAACGTCCAATCCGTAACAACAGTAACAATTCAAAAATCACAGAAAGAGAATTGAAGAGAAGAAGATTCACGAGTTATAATTTGAAACTGAGAAAGAAAGTTGTTTACCTAGATCTCGCGGCAAGTTTTTTTTTTTGGTTTCTTGCGTAATCGTCACAATGAAGGTGCACCAAAAATTCTCCATTATGTGAGTGTCTTTTCGCTCTTCTTTCTTCATCTGTTCTTTCATTGCGTAAGTTTGTGATTCGAAACCGAAACTTATAAATCAAAACATTTACAAAGCAGAGATGAGTGAGGGGCTGAACCGAAACATATACTGAATCAGAAGGAAATGTGATGGTTGAAAGCTTGAGCTGGTGAAGAGGAACGACGAAGCTTGATAAACGGAGAAGTTTCCGTCGTATTGAGGTGAGATTGAGGTAGAGATTGAGACAAAGATCAATGAGGTCGCAAGGAAGACGAATGAAGACACCCCTCTTTTGAGCCCGTGTCACACTTTTTGTGGAGTTTTGCTTGTGACAGAAAATGCTAAGTTAGGCTTCCCTGGGCCTTGCGCCTTGTTGTTGGTTCATACCCCTTAATTCAGAATTACACTTCTAATTTAGAGAATTTTTACTTTTCTTCTATCATTTTTATTTCAATAATTTTTGATAAAATTAGGATAGAAATTAATAATAAAAACAATAAAAGATGTTAATTGTTTTAGTAATATTTTAGAATAGAATTTTTCTCTTAATTCCTTACTTGATAAAAATGTCAAAGATATTAGATAGTATTTATTTATTTATTTTATTAGTTATTTGATTGGTTGATGGTGTGATATTGCCATGTTCACTTAGGTGATTTTACTTCAAATTTAATCTTTAATTAAGATGAACTAAAAATAGATTTTAGATGTAAACCATGCATACTAACATTAGGTAGTTTCTTTTGTTATCCTAACTTTAACACCATTGTACATGACAACATTAGGATCTTTAGTCTCCCTTAGACTTTTTCTTCCCCCTTTTCTCATCCTTAAGATTAAAACTATTTTTCTTTATCAAATGTTAAAAACACTTAACAATAATGATGCGAACCATGTGGCATGAGCCTTAAGTATTGAGGGGGAGTATGAGGGGGTGCATTCCCAACCTTGTGATTTCTTTCAATCATAGTCTTTAATGTGGTTCAAATCACCAAATCATTTCTCAGGGTAAAAAAGACTAAACCAATTCAAACCTTTTGTCTTTAGGCTTTTCTTTTGAAAACATTTTCAGGTAAGAACATGTTAATTCCTTTCTACGACAATTGTGTGAGTCTCCAAAGGTCGAGCGACAATAGAATGCGATATTAGCATCGTTAATAAAAAATGCAAAGAAACAAAAACTTTTGAGCCAAATTATGGCACTCTGATTCCTTAAAAGGAATACGTTGGCATTGGGTTGCAGGGCCTAAGCGAGCTTAACTATTTAAAAACTTTATTTTTCCTGTATTTTTTCTTTTGCATTCACGCATTCCTTTAGCTTGTAAGTTTAGATAGACACGCATTTTGATTAGAACAACAAGAGTGGATCTCGTGGAGTACCACAAACGTGAGAGATGTTAGTATCTTCCCCTTAAGTAATCGACTTCCTCTCTTGGTCGCGTGATCTTAATTTCTCCTTTCTCAGGTTTATTTGATGTTTTCCTTTCCCTTCTTTGGGATGAATAAAATTCGATGGTGACTTCATTGTTTGATGATTTTCCTTGTTGTTTCAGCTGGCGACTTCACTGGGGAAACCTAAGTGAGTCGGTCCTAGATCTTGTGTGTTTATATTCATTGGGTGCTTATCTTAATGCTTTACTTGTTAGCTTTATTTTCTTCGTGAATATATGTTTTACGTAATTGCATTACATGTTTGCATCTGGATTACTTGTTCATATACTTTGGATATATGTTGTACTGTTTTTTTCTTGGCGGGTGAGATGTTACTTGAGGTAAAAGGCCCAGTACTCGGGCCAAAGTTGTAAACACTTAGGAACACATAGGACTAGAGTGGGTGTTCATGACACCTATTGGGAGCAAGGCCCCATTAGTGCGATCATTGAGGTACTGTGCGTAAAAGAGGTTTATTTGGGGATATTATCGTCATACGTGGCTATGTTACGATGATATGTTTTCATTTGAATCACTACTTTGTGTATCTTTTGACCTTGCTCTGACCTAGACTTCACCCGTGAGTGGGAAGGGAATGATCTTATAGGTACTGTTGGTGACTTATTTCGTACTTGGTTACGCTGTATTCTAAAATTGGTGTCAAACCTTTGATCTTGTGATATTCAGATTTATTCAGTAGATTTATACAGTAGTTATCCAGTGGATTGTACAGTTGTTACGCTGATTCTTTTAAACCTATGGTGTTGCATTGCATCAATCATCATAAGAGTTTATTTCTCTTATCATCCATGCATCATCTTGCATCCCATTAATTTCAGCCAAGAGACTCATTGCAACCTGGTTTATTCTTCAGAATCTCAAGACCCCAAGACTGACTTCTCAACATTCTAGGCTTTATCATGGAGCTATTGCAAGCAGATATGGCTCCGATAGACACACAGATGGAGACTCAGATGGGTTAATTCATGGAGGATATTCAGAACATTGCTTGTGGATAAGAAGAGTTGAGACAAATTGTTTAGAGGCTCGATGCTACTGTTGATCCTGTTAATTCACCAATTGTTAATCTTAGCCCAGAAGAGGTTCCCTTGAATCATAATGGAAGGAACACTATTCAGATACATGTCAATGGAACTCCACACTATGAGAACATTTATGATGCGTCATTTGACACCTTCAAGTTCCCAATTGATGAGTCTGAGTCTGAGAAAAGGTTTCGCCTCTTAGAGGAGAAGGTGAAACCTATTGAGGGTCATAATTCCCTTGGTTTAGATGTTGCTAGTTTGTTCCTAGTACCTAGTATTAAGATCCCTGCTAAATACAAAGTCCCCAGCTTCGAGAAGTACAAGGGTGCTACTTGTCCAATGACTCATATCAAGGCATATTGCAACAAGATGGCTTCTTATGCGGGAAAGAACAAGTTTCTAATACATTTATTTCAAGATAGCCTCAGTGAAGCATCTCTTGAGTAGTATAATCAGCTTGAACAGAACCACATCTGAACTTGGAGAGAATTAGCTAAATACTTTCTCAAGCAGTACAATTATAACAACAACATGGCTCCTACCAGAATTCAACTCTAGGGTTTGACTCAAAAGGTTGACGAGTCATTCAAAGAGTATGCAAAGAGATAGAGAGAACTAGCTGCCAGAGTTCCACATCCCCTTTTGGAACGAGATCTTGTGGACATGTTCACATATACTCTTCGAGGTCCCTATCTAATGGTTGGATATACTACTTCTAAATTTTCATATTTGGTTGTGATAGAAGAGCGAATTGAGAATGGTCTCAAGATTGGTAAAATCCTGAAGGTTGAGAAAACACTTAGAAGGGGGGGGGGGGGTTGAATAAGTTTTTCTTCTTTTCTAGCGCAATACTAATGGAAGGACACTGGTAATTTTATCCTGGTTCATTTGAAACTCAAACTACTCCAGTCCACCCGCCAAGGTAATTTCGCCTCTCTCAACGAGGACTTAATCCACTATAATCAAACTGATTACAAGCGCACAACCAAACTGGTGTGACTAACAATACAATGCACAAGCTAACTGCAAGTGACTAAAACCTCTAAGACTCAACTAGTCCTAGCCCTCTTGAGAAATCTGATCCAACTGGTATCTCAAGGAACACTTACAAAATTGTCTCTTAATAGTAGTGAAAAAGATTTGCTTCTAAAAAGCTTTATCACAACTGTGATTTTTCACTAAGATTGTTGCCCAATGTTTAAGAACTACCCACTATACAGTATTAGTTTACAAGTATGAAAACAGTGAGTGTAAGTATATTTCATGTAAGTCAGTAACCTTTCTTTGATACAAAAGGTCTTCTATATATAGCTTCCAATTGATCGTTAATGCCTTGATGATGGTGCATGCATTTAATGAAGCGTGTTTGCAATGATGCGTGTAGCGAGTAGATTTGGTCTTTATGTTTCCAATGCTAGTTCGTGTAGTATACTTGAGTGTGTTAGCCATTTTAGCATTTAATAACCAACGGTACTGTCAGATTTTGTCTCTGGAAGTTGAAGTGTTTGCTTGCAGGATTGCTAATTCAGAGTTTACTAGATCTATTCTTCTATCATAGTATTCTTCAATATGTGATCATCAGAGTTTGCTTTAATCTTGCATTTATCAGATGTTGCTTTCAGCGTGCTTCCATTCAGATCTTTGCTTCAGCTAGCTTTATCAGAAGTTTCTTAGGATTGCTCTTCATCAGAGTTTGCTTTGGAGTGCTTCCTTCTGAGTTTGCTTTATACCTGAGTAGAATGTTGTTTCTTTCTAAGATGCGTAAGACAAAACTTCATCTGATCTTAGAGAACATGCAAGTCCGAGTATAAAATATATATCACAAAATTTATTTCATTGTTATCATCAAAACTCTAAGATATGATTAGAACTAAACTTTGTTCTAACAATCTCCCCCTTTTTGATGATGACAAAACAATTCAGATTTTGATTAAAAAGAAATTTTGTGCAAGTATGAGGATCTCCCCCTGAGATAGATAATCTCCCCCTGAGATTTATATTTCTTCTTCTGAAATAAAGAATAATTAAAAAGCATAAGGGAAACTTCCTGAGATTTGTTCTTCAGAGCTTTTAGACTTTTTCTTTCAGAGTTTCTTTAGCAATTCTTTTCCTGATGATGTTCAGAGCTTAGTCTTTCAGAGTTTCTTGAATTCCTGCATATCTCTTAAACAAAAAAAAAACTTTGTATTTCGTTAGAAATGTTTGAGACTTAGTCCCATAACTGTTTCATGGATCAGATCAAAATCTCATTTTCTCCCCCTTTTTGTCATAATCAAAAAGTAAAAAATGTAAAGAAATCCAAAAATGTCATATATTGAAGATTTAAAAGAAAACAAAGTTACAAAACAAAAACAACAAGAAATTTTTTTTAGAAATAAAATCTAAGAGCGACGAGAAACAAGGGAAAACAAAAGATTCTTGATTTCGTTTGAGGAATCCTCTTGTTTCTGCATCCAAGATCTGATTTCCTTGTTGGTTTCATCTTGTTTATCCAAAAGTTCGTGGATGGCCTCATTGTCCTTCTTCAGTTCATTCAGAGTGTCCAGCAACAACGAGGGTGCCACAGAAGTTGAAGCAGCTTCAGATGAGACAACCTTAGAAGCAGAAGTAACTGAGCCTGAGTACACAACATTTGAGAGAAAGGTACCAGGATCAATCAACAGAGTAGGCACTTTCTCAGGGATAACTTTAGCAGAAGGTTGGTGATACAGGGTCATGGCCAAAGGATGTGGTTCAGACTCAGCGTAATCTTCTGATTCGTCCTCTGATATCTCCATGGGGTCAGCAGGTGGTAATGGAGAACCGATAATCTATAGTGGATACCTTTGATCCCAGATGTTTATTACTTCCGTCAAGAAAGTATTCAGATGCTTGGAGAAATTCTTAAGAACCTGATCATATCACAATTCTTGCAAATTGAGGATTTCATCATTTATTTTTCTTCTGAAAGCGTCCCACATAAAATCACACGCTGCTGGCACTGTCAGCTTTCAGCAGGTCAATCCATGTCTGCATTTCTGTTATAAAGTTCTGACAGCATACAAGAACTTCTGATTGATCAGATTTTGGAGTTGGTTTAGGAGAGGCCTTTTTGGTGGATTTTATTTGTAGATAACGTAGTGATTCAAGATCAACTACAGTTTTGAGAAAGTCAGAAGGGACAAGGGGTTCAGGAGGTTCTACTGATGATGGACTAGGGATTGGTTCTAGAGAGAGAGGTGAAGAGGTTTCAGATGATGAAGGGAATGGAATTTCTGGTGAGGAAGGTGGTGTGACATCAGGAGATATGATGATTGTGGTTTGAGGTGAGGAAGGAGGAGAAGGTGTTGGTGATAAATTCAGGGCAAAAATGTTTTCAGATGGTAAGATGAAGGATGGTGGTTGTGTAGTCAGAGGAACATTTATGCCAGGTAGTCTCCAAGAACCATCATACCACTCAGAGGGTCTTGGTGATAAAGGTCTGATGGGGGATGTTGGTAGAGGGTTGTGAGCAGGATTATTTGGATTCTGATGGTGAGGAGCAGAAGGAGGTATTTGAGTTTGAGGTTGAGTTTGTTGAGGTACTGCAGCAGCAAAACTATCTATGTCAGATAATACTTGGTCAATTTCAGGGTTGTTATCCAGGGGCTCAGATGATTGTGTTAGGTCTATGTCAACTTCTATTTTTTTCGAGGGTTTGAGGTTCAGCACATGTTTCCATGCGCACATAATCATTAACATAAATGGTTTTAGAGGTTGTACCTACTGATTTCTTCTTCTTCTTCTAAGGTCTAGCAGAGGGGCCAACTTCAGCTTGCCTTTTCTTCTTCTGGAGGACAACATCTGGTGGAGGGAGATTTCTTCCTTGAAGCCAAGCAGGGTCAATGGGGATACCACTTTCTTTGCATGCTTCAATGAAGTGCAGAATGATCCCCGGATGATCACCAGAGTTGAACAGGAGAGAATCTTCAATGGGGATTCTCCTGCTGGTGGCTGTTGCTGGGACGTATGGTGTAGGTTCTACTAGAAGTTTCTCAATCAGCTTCCTCTTCAGTAGGTTCTGTTAGAACATAGTTTGATTCTACAACCCTTGATTAGAGTTTTGATGATAACAAATACAAAGAATAAATAAATACAAAATAGATATACAAAGAACAAATATGCACCTTAAAAATATGTTTTATGTATGCAGAAGTTCTGATGGAATCAGCATCAGAAGATAAGCTAAAGTATTACATGCTGAAGCAATCAGATTATACGTTGAAGATTGGTGGCCAGAACCTGCGCTTAATTACAACAAACTCTAATTCTGAACAAAGACATATCAAACCAAGTCATCAATATTCTGAAGAGTCATCAACAGTTAAGCAAAGAAGACTCTGAAGCGTTACTGTACATTCAAGACAGAATTAATGCCAACGGATTTCTTCAGACAAGATCTTCTACAAAGGAAAGTGTGTTATTAACATTAAACTTGCTTTATGGACAACGTCATTATTTTGTTTATATAAACAAGTCTGCTTGCAAAGAAGCACGTACGTACGCACACATCAATTTGCAGAGAATTCCAAACCACGCATATTCAAGCTCTAGCAAATTTATTCTATATTCTAAGCTTAACCTGTGTAATTATCACAGTTGTGATAAACTGTTTTGTCAGAAAACAACAACACATTCTTGTTCAATTATTTGTAAAAGATTTCCTTGAGATTAACCGGTTTGTGGTTGTACTCAAGAAGACTTTAAGAGTTGTTAAA